TTTTAAGACTCCCTCAAGAGTAGTATTACTTGCAATTGTGAATTAATTCAATTCAACTTTAATTTCACCTTATGTTAAGTTATAAGCAGGCCATTCTTGCAACCTCTGGGAGCGATGTCCAACACACAATACATGCAGAAAAATTCTTTCATTTGCCCAAACCAGACAGTGAATGATTGTGCTTTCTGTGGCCTACTCTCCAAAATGATTTGAAGTGTGAGCCTGCATCATTTGTTTTATCTGTCCTTACCGGCCTATAGGGTATATTCAACCTGCTGCTTTGTGTGAAAAAATGCTGAGTCTTCAACATCACATGCCTCGGCTATGGTCAACGTGACCTTTGTTTCGCCTGTATTGACTCTCTCTAGTGCGTCACATATTATAATTTGACCCCCAGGGCTATTCGACTGATGATTTCTCACGCAAACAAATACAAACACACAATAGAGCCCCTCTTCCACTGACCAGGCATATTATATTACTTCTAAAATAGAAGATATTGGTATTTTAATTGCCTTTAAAGCATGATTTGCTCATCTGTCCATCCATCTGTCTTGCGGTCCATTCATCTGCACATCCATCCATTTAAACACATTATTACTCAACAAAATTTCCCTTTCTGACCAGCCATTCTGTTTAGTTGGATATATTACTGAAGCTGCTCAAATAAGAGGTTCTTGTAATCTGATTGTCTGAAAGCATCATGTTTGATTCACAACACCGTGTTTAATATCAGTCGATATTAAATCCTCTGGTTTAGTGTCAGTCAGTTTTTATTTACCTTATCATTAAAATGACAAATGTTCCGCTAATATCTAATCAACATTCAGCACCACCATACTACATGTGCTCATTAGATATTCATGAAATTACTCAGCCAGATCAAAAAGCATGTTTACAGCATTTAATGGGCAAAATGATGGTTTTAGCTGTAGAATACTAATTGTTTGAAAAAATCTACTTATGACAGAATGGATGTTCTGATCCAAGCTGGTTACTTAAATTGTGTAAAAATTTTAAAATGTAATAAACTTTTGATTTAATTTAATTTAATTTAATTTAATTTAATTTAATTTAATTTAATTTAATTTAATTTAATTTAATTTAATTTAATTTAATTTATTAAAATAGTTGCTAAAATATAATTTAGGGTACAAGTGAGAGGTCATTTCTCGAGAGACACTTTAACACATCACACACTGTTTACAAATTGTCTATAAGTCATGTAAAACAATTAATTGCAAACTGGAATAAATCTAATTTGATTATATGGTTTGGAATTGGATTTTTTTTAATGAGATTATGTAAATGTTTTGTGATTATTTTGCATTTAAATTAAGCAGGATCACAGAAATATGCAACTTTTTGTCTTTTTTTTGTGTTGGATTCATCGATTTCGGAATCGCTGAAAACTTGGGGGTCTGAAAGATAAAGATATTACTGTTATTATGTTGGCTTGAGAAAGCCAACATACTGTTATGCTACTCTGTCCTTGAAAACAAACGTATCTCCTCCTAGGCCGTTCATACCACAAGGCCCAAATGTGGTCAAAATGTGCCTTCTACATTCAAGATTGTTGCTATATCTCCTCATGCCTATAAGACTTATTGTTTTTTTAGTAAAAAATGTTAAACATTACATTTTTATAATCCAAGCATATAAAAAAATTATACAAGCCCCAAATTTGGCCAAAAGCTGTATTTAGATGCGTTAGATTTTGTTGTTATATCTTTAAGGTTTATCAGACTTATAGTTTTCCAATAAATAATTTTTAAGCATTATTTTTCTCAAAATATGGCAAGCCATTTTTGACTTAACCTCCATATTTTTTACTGATATGGCGAGCCATTTTTGCATGTATTACTTTCACACTTATTAAGCATTGTATTTTTTTTAAAAAAATACGGCAAGCCATTTTCACATAATGTTCATTCCCTTAGTCCCTTTATTAATCAGGGGTCGCCACAACGGAATGAACCGCCAACTTATCTAGCATTTGTTTTACACAGCGAATGCCCTTCCAGCCGCAACCCAACACCAGCAATACATAATGTTCAAGTCCAGTTTTTGACACTCATAAAGACTGTCATAGAAACATCGGGGTTGATTAAGATCACTCATATTGCCAAGAAGCTTTGATGTATCATCACTAACCTGTCAAATGTCCCCATAGCAATAAAACATTATGACCTAGTAACCATTTAAAAATAGCAATATCTCTACATCAGAACATCGTAGGGACCTGGGCATTGGCTTGTTTGACTCATGCTAGCAAATGGGACTTCCTGTGTACTATGCATGGTAACAATGATAATGGAAGCCAAGTGCTAATAACGATTAGCTACATGCTATGAACGATTATATAAATGCAATAATATATGCTAGAAATGCCTACTAAGTATTAGCATTTGATCAAACATGTACACGAGTTTTGCCATTTAGCAACTGCTTAGCAACCACCTAACAATTGTTTTAGCAACTGCCTAGCAACCACTTAGCAACCGCCGCTGTGCTTCCTGCCAACTGCCATTCCCAGTCCTAGCGCGCAGTCACGTTGGCTTTCTCAAGCCAACATCAAAGTTTATCAATAAACTTTAGGTTCTAGTTGTTATTATTATTATTATTATCAGTAGTGTACTGATATAGATGGTGACTAGTGAGACATTCTAACAGGGTATCATAAATCACATATACAGTTTGAATATTGTACAAACTTTAAGATATCATTTTCATTTGACATTTAGAAAAATGATTATGTGAAGTATCTCTCATATACAGAAATGTGTAGCATAATAACTCAACAGGTTGTTTGTTTCAGGTCAAGAGCTCCTTGTGATTTTCTGAATGTCGACTAAAGCTTCATCTTTTCATCAGAAAGAGCTTATTAATGGATCAATGTTGAGCAGCGGCTCGTGGAGAATCTGTCTATTACAGTTCAATTAACCCCATTTAAGTCTCTGTCACGCTGCCGCCATGAAAAAGCAAACAAACAAACAGATGAAGCAGTCGACACTGGAGTCAGCGAACAATCTCCACAACGGCTGATTAATGAAGCGCCTCTTGATCGTCAACTTGAGCGCTTTGTCTAATTACAGGTTGTTTTAAAATCACATTGATTTGATTGAGCTTCCAATCATTTCCTCAGCTCTAAGTGCCAGCCATTCATCTTTACATCAGACATGGAGCTGATCGATACGCCAGCAACATGTGCGGTAAACAACACATAATTCAATGCACATTGCTGCCAGGCTCTGAAACAAAGGCTTTCCTTCTGCTTGTTTTGCAGGCTGACTCTGTTAGTGTAGGAGGACATTCATTCAGACTAGATGGATGCCCGTTTAGAAAGCTGCACCGTTCAGAAAGCCTTCGGCTAAAAGAGTCCAAGATCATTTTCACTATGGGAATACATTTCCCAGTGAGCCACACCTCACACACTTCCTCTTTCACACTCGTTTTCTCTCCTTTCTCACTTCCTCTCTCACACACATTTAATTATTTACTGCTGATAAAGAATGAAGGATCTCTGTTGAATTCTAATATTAATCTAACATTTCAGATTTCTACTTAATTCAGTTACCGTAAATGCATACTCACAATATAAAACAATATTTTTATAAAAGTGCAAAAGAGCTGATTATCCATCAACCCCCCCCACCCCCAATTGGGTTTTCCCCCAGTATTTTCCCATTATTTTTATACATATCCAAAGGTTTTAAAGCAGTAATCAGTATAGGCTACTGTATTCCATGAAACCAAGCCAACCAGCTTGAAGACATGAAAAAGGATTTTATTGAGAAACCTTAAAATATATAAGCAGTATCTGAATACTATAGATGAATAATAACATATACAGTATCTTGATGGTTTTGGGGACAATAAGGCTGAAATCTGTTGTTGCATGGACTGCCCAAACTTTTTTCTAAAGACCCAAATATCATTGAGAGCCGAAGGGTCAAAGGTAAATATACCAAGTTACAATGCATTAAAGTTGCCTTGGGTAATTTCCTATTTTTTCTGAATATTTCAAAATAAATAGAAAACATCACTTTAAATCATATTAACTAATGCTGTATCGTTTTTTAAATATTAAGAAATTGCGATAAAAACATAATCAATCACATTTATAACACATTGGAGTTCAATGCTGAATACACTAGGCAGAATCTGCCTTTGATTTGATTTGATCACCAAAGTCTCTGCATTGTCAGGTGACAGTATGTACATTTGAACAAAATCTGATTCATTTACACCATTTAATTGAAACATTTAATTACAGCTTTTAACAATAAAACAAACAAACAAACAAACAAACAAACAAACAAACAAACAAACAAACAAACAGTTACATTATATTGGAAAAGACAAACTTGAAATCATGCCTATCATTCTCATCACTCTTCTCAGATGGGAGGGAGGGACAAAGCAAAGGTGGCTATTGCAGGCCCTAGTTAGGGCATCTCTGATCTAAAAAATATCAAACACATTCAGTGAGTTTGATGACTACATGTTGGTTTTACACATTAAATCAGTATATTATTTGATTTGCTAAAGATCATGAGACACAAATGAATGGAGTTATGGTGGTAAAAATAACATACATAAGTTGCAAAAAAATAAATAAATATAGATATTTAAACCATATATTTATAAATATTTAACCAGTGGTAAAAGCAACTTTTCTTACTTTTCTGGTGAATCTTTTTTTTAAGATTTATGGGTAGCAGTTCTTCATAATTCAATAATAACATTGCAATCATGGTTGCCCTGCTTAAAAAAAAAAAGGTTCTTGGGTGAAAATTACTGATTTTTAATTTTGTGGCACTCTAGTTTTGAATGTTTTGCATAATAGATGGCGGATGCACTTGAAAGATGAATGAAATATTCAGCCAGATGAAGGCGTTTGGTAGATAAATTCACCATGGCTTACTCTACATTTCTCCTCAAGGGAGACGAATAAGAGTCCATTTTGACTTCTGTTTTCTGTTGTGTTGTTGTTGTAGATTCGGCTGTACGCCAGACCTGATGCCATCCAGAGCGGATCGGGTGACTACGCTCTGCGCATCACCAAGAGACTCCTGCAGTTTTACCAGGATTACTTCAAAGTCAAATATTCCCTCCCCAAATTAGGTAAGCCGGCCGGTGAAATGTCTTCATCTTTATCTGGCTTCAGTGACGCTGCTGAAACTGGTGATAAATGTTCTTCTCATCAGATTTTTCATTGTTCCTTCTGTCGGTTCTGTGTGAATTCATGTTTCGTTTTGGTGTAAAGAAGTGAAGAGTGTCGATATCAACACAGTTCTTGAGTTTATTGATCCTCAAAGTGCTGCAGGCGTGTGCGCCTGTGTTTGGTCTTGGGAATCAGAGCACGCACCTTGCGTGTGTTGTGAAAGTGTGTGTTTGTGGCTGTATTGACTTGTGTGTGTGCTGTATGTAGTTGTAAGTGTGAGTGTGTTTGTTCTGGACGACTCGTTTCGCTCCATTGGGTTCCTGTCAGCTCTCTGTATTCATTTGAATGTAGGCATCAATCTCTCTGGGCTTCTGTCTGTCGCTCTTCTGCCGTCTGCTCACTCATCTCCAAATGTGTGTGTGTGTGTGTTTCAGCAGGCATGTAATATTAATCATGTGCTTTACTCTGTAAACGCTCTCTGGGAAGCAGTTGCTCAGTTTGCTAATAAGGTTAAGACCCTCATCATTTTCACACACACACAAACATTTCGGTGCTTTTCTTTCTGCATTTCTTTCTCATCTTTGCCTCCTGGAAAAGCCGGCTTTAGTTGTGTTATGAACAAGACTGTCATTCTGCTTCTCTGTAGCATATTAGCCAGCTAGCATCTTCAAAAACACAGCTAACTGCTTAAGCTGGATTACCTACTGTAGCAGGTTTTTAAGAGACTTTATAGTTATAACATTACCTGTAATTACATTTGAAATGTTCAGTGCTAATGAGGAAAATGTAGCAGTCTAGCTTATATGTTTCCCTTGTGAATGAAGTGTAATGCTTTGTATTTGCTGTAATTAAAATGACTATCCTAAACTGTACATTTCAATTTTAATGTAAAAAAGCATGTGCTTATGCAGTATGCCAGAAAATAACACAAATATATTCTTTTTAAAGTAGACGTGCTAAAGTGTGCTTGTTTCTCACAAGAGTTAGCACATGATGTTCTGTCACAAAATCTTTTCCCTGCGCTTCATAAAGCTTTCAGTTGTTCACAGGACACGCGATGATCAATTGCTTGTTGACAGTCTTGTGATTTACAGTACAACAGGATTGGCATCTTTTGAAAGCTCTACACATGCTCTCGTGTCACTAATGAGCCTTTTTCATTACTGCTGCTCTATTGATTGACGTCCTGCAGGATCCTTTGACTGAATCTTTTCAAACATGCCGAACCCTTTAATGAGGCTCCAGATTTTCACGACCTTTATTTTGTCGCTTGCTATAAAGAGAGTCCCGTCTGACTGTTCAAATGTCACGTCAGAGATGCTGCCTGTACAAAAGATGAAGTTTGTTTTGTTTGGTGACCTTAAGACACTTCTGACATGTTGCATGTGATTTCTAAACTGAAGGACGAGATGATTTCAGCGTGAGATTTGAGAAATGATGTGGATGTAATGAATGCGTCCGTTATGTAAAGGCACCATCTGTGTGTGGAGTGTTGGAGCAGTTGCAGAGCCTCTGGCCTTCAAACAGGGACATTCTGTCTTTCTGCTCATGCAAAGCACAAAAACACAGAGAAATCAACTCGGAGCTTACAGGTTAAGCAGAAAATCACATCTCAAGTGCCTGAAACACCTCAATGACGTCTTTTAGTTTGTAACAAAGCACTTTTGAGCGCTCCAGTTTATGTGTTCTGAGAGAGTTTTGAGTTATTTGGTTTGTTCTTTGACTTAAAGGATAAAGTTCTTTGTATCTACGCCTCTTGGCATGTGATTCTGTGCTAACGGCACAGCAATTGCTCTCAGTTTGTGAAACGACAGCACAAACCGCAGCACGAGCAATTCATTAAAGTGTCTCATTGTTCACCCGTCGATTCTGAAGCAAAGTCCAATTAGAGCAACTTAATCAGAGCCCAGATCAGCTTGACTGACAGAGGAGACAAAGAGCCACCAAACACTTTCTCCTTTAGTCTCTCTCTCAAAGAGGGAGAAATCAGCAGGAAAGAGATTCAAACAATGATGTAAAGCAGAGTAGAGAATGGACTTTGTTGTCGGGCTGCATTTAATAGCTCAGTAATCAGTTTCATGCTTTAAGAGCAAAAGCCTCCAGAAGCTTCATCAGCAGTGAAGAGTCGCATGCAGAATGATGATCAGATGAAGAATCAGAGCATCCACAACACCATTCTGCCCCTTAGCTTTCATTATATCAGTTAAATATCCTCAATCTGCTAGAATTCAACCACTGATGCTTTCAGGGGCTTTTGTAGGAGCCCTGATGAACAGAGCAATAAATAAATCAGTCCAAAGCAAGCATTTGTATGCTTTCATTTATACATTTTACTCCAACAAAGACTTTGTAGAATTTTAGAAAAAACAAGATGTTCTTTCACTGTCTGGTGCTCAATTTGTATATCAGATAAGATACTGTTGAGAGCAAGAAGATAACATTAACTCTTTAAATGGTAAATAAAGTGATCTGAGTGAAAAATGTAACTAACCAACAAACTAACTATTTATTTGTTAGCACTGTCGCCTCACAACCAAAAGGTCGCTGGCTAGTCCAGTTAATGTTTCTGTGTTTAGTTTGCATGTTCTCCCCGTGTTGGCGTGGTTTTCCTCCAGGTGCTCCGGTTTTCCCCACATTCCAAAGACATACGCTATTGGTGAATTGAAGAAAACTAAATTGGCCGTAATGTAAATGAGTGTGTATGGATGTTTCCCAGTACTAGGTTGCAGCTGGAAGAGCATTGGCTGTGTAAAACATATGCTGGGAAAGTTGGCGGTTCATTTCGCTGTGGCGCCCCCTTTTGAATAAAAGGGCTAAGCCGAAAATGAATGAATGAATGAATAAATTGGCCGTAGTGCATGAGTGTTTGTGTGAATGAATGTGTATGGGTGTTTTCCAGTACTGGCTTGTGCCTGGAAGGGCATTTGTTGTGTAAAACATTTGCTGGCATAGTTGGTGGTCCATTCAGCTGTGGCAACCTCTTTAATAGAGATTAAGGGCATCACACACCGGATGTGCCGCTCAGCGTCGCGACATGGCGTGCACATGACTGTTGAATGAATTGCACACCAGACGCGTACATTCGCATGCTATTTAAACTTAAACTAATTAGATGAGGCTCTGATGGCATGGCAGAAATATCAACAGTGTCCTGAGTCATGGCTGGGCGCCGCTGACTTGCGGCGCCGGTGTGTGTAACCTGATAGAAACCTATGTTTACAATTCTTAAATGCACAGTGCTTCTGGTGTATGACCCTTTTTAAAACGACGCAAAATTAATAAAATAATGAAAAGTTATAACAGTTTTTGTGCTTTGTGTAAATAAAATAAAATAAAATAAAATAAAAGCAAAACAGAAGAAAACACAACATGACACAACAACACAACATGAATAAAATTGTCTTTGACAACAAAATAACAATGACTTATAAGGGTATAACAGGAAATATTAGAAAATTTTTAACCGCGGTAAACTTTGAAACCGGTTATCATCCCATGCCTATATGTGATCCCAGACCACAAAATCATAGGGGTCATTATTTTTTTATATTTTAATATATTTATGGTACAAAATGTAAAACAATTAGAATCAAACTCTTTTTCATTATGATTTTTGCCTTAACGCAGTGGCGCAGTAGGTAGTGCTGTTGCCTCACAGCAAGAAGGTTGCTGGTTCGAGCCTCGACTGGGTCGGTTGGCATTTCTGTGTGGAGTTTGCATGTTCTCCCTGCGTTCTTGTGGGTTTCCTCCGGGTGCTCCGGTTTCCCCCACAGTCCAAAGACATGCAGTACAGGTGAATTGGGTAGGCTAAATTGTCCGTAGTGTATGAGTCTGAATGAGTGTGTATGGTTGTTTCCCAGAGATGGGATGTGGCTGGAAGGGCATCAGCTGCGTAAAAACGTGCTGGGTAAGTTGCCGGTTTATTCCACTGTGGTGACACCGGATTAACAAAGGGACTAAGCCTAAAAGAAAATGAATGAATTAATAATTTTTGCCATAAATGAAAAATGTATCATTTTGACTCTATATCATATTGTTGACTATTTCTCAATATATCTGCAAAATTACTGGTAAATACTGGTTTAGTGGTCCAGCATCACAAAAAAATCAAATAAGATTATGGACTATTTACAAGTAACAAATTAAATAAGCATTTTTTAAACCTCATTTGTAATTTCCGTTCAAGGTCACATATTGTAATAATAATTTGTGTATATATTTTGGCAAATAATAATAATTTAGACAGTAAAGAGAGAATATGAGGAAAAGAAAATAAGAATTTTTGGTTCATTTAAAAAAATATCTGGAAGTTCGTCTATTACATTTTAGGGAACAATACTGTAATGCTCTAAAAATATGTTCACATGTACTATTAAACAGTAAGATCAATGTGTTTTCGATCACATCCTTATTCGATTTCATGTAATAAAAACAGGCTTTACTGATAAATGCATTCCAAATTTGACATGACAGCTGGTCTTTCGGTGTCCTCTATCAATATAATCAGCTTGTATGATGGCTGTAATGGAGCACATCATCTGTTTGTCAAGAGAAATAGACATTGTGAGCGTTTGAAGAAGCATTTAGTGCGTCCTTTGAGAGGGACGTGATCTTTCTTAGATATTGATCTACTGTAAGTGCTTCTCAGACGGAGATCAATGATCTATCAAAAAGAGGCCGAGTCGACAGGAGAATGAGACTGACAGATACAGAGCAATGCAGAAGGAAATCCAATACGTGACAAATGTGGACGGGTTAATCTTCCATTGCTGTTGAAAGAAAGGATATGTGTGAAGAGTTGGACAGTGGAAAAAGATCAAGTACAGACCAATCAAATCAAATCCCAGTGTCATTCAGTCTGTGAACCCATTTACTTATATTTCAATGGTTTAGATGCAGACTAGGACACACCTCCACTGAGTTAAAGTTCAAAATAGTTCAACTTTTGCCGCTGTGTTGA